ATTTGGCTATACAATTCATCAACCTGGGGATGGTATAACTATTATGTATTGTGACCTTGTTCATATTCCTACATTCAAAACGCATTTTGAGAGAACCATCTTTCTTCTTCACAAACAACATTGATGCACCCCGAGAGGAAATACTAGTTTTGATGAAGCCTTTATATACATGGTCTTTAAACTGCTTTTCGATTCCTTAAGCTACGATGGGGCCATTCTGTAGGAAGGAATTGATATAGGCTCGGTATGTGGAAAGATATCAATTCCAAATACAATTTCTTTTTGGGGATAATCTCTGGGGAGATATTTTAGTAAAACATCTCAGAACTTTTTAACTACTTGAACTAACTCAAGACTTTGGGTTTTGGAGCTTGAATACTTAACCCAAACTATATGATAGAGACAACCCTTAATGATCATTGTACTTGGTTTAAGGTAAGAAATGAATCGAGCCACATGCTTTAGGCTACTACCCTTCCATTCTAAGACTGGTTCATTGAAAAACTGAAATGAACAATTCTAATTCTACAATTGATCGAGGCATAATAGGAATGTAACAAGCCATTCCTAGAATGATATCAAAGTCTACCATTTCTACTCTACAAAATCTATTGAGGTGACTTTCTAAGAGATTGTGATAGGGCAATTTCTATAAACTCTTCTAGCTGGGTCACCATATAGAGTAGAGACTAAGAAGGGTTCTAAGAGAGTTTCAGGACTAACATCAAACTTGACTTCTATAAAAGGAGTTCTAAGGAAAAAAGTAGCCCGTTTATCTAACAACCCATAGACATCGACATTAACAACTCGTAACGTACTAGTTAATACATTAGGAGAATGTTCCTAATCCTAGCGATCCTGAAGAGCATGCAACCTATTTTTGTGATGTTCACAACTTGTACCAGATTATTTACCTTGTTGAATCGGGCGACTTGCTGGTGTTGAAGTTGTAGAATAAGCTCTATTATTACTACCACTTTGACACTTCTTAAAAGGACGATTACTCAGCCTGTGACCAGACTAAACACATAAAAGACATTCTTCCCTTCATGCAAGACACTCACCTAGATAGTTCTTACCGCTTTTATGACAACTTGGGTAGGTTATGATTCCTGAAACACTTCCTTGAGACTTAGAGACTAATGCCCTACCTTCATTATCATGTCTTAACTTGGAGGATAGAACACTAGCTGATGAAGCTGCTGGGGGCTAGAAATTTCATATGAGACTAAGAGCAATTTGCATAATTTGATTTTTGTTTAGACACTCATAGTTGCATGTTCTAGCCATCTTATTATCCTTAGCTTGTTCCCTAAGATTATCTCCCTCAACGTACTGAGCATGATTTATCAGACTAGAGATGTTCTTTTGTTTAACATAACATTCCCACACTCTATTTTCTCAAGGTCGGATACCCCATAAGGAAACTTAGTCATTTGAGCCCTAGAATTGGAGAACACGTAAGGAGCATACCTAGAGATATAGGTGAAATTGAGTCCATACTCTTGGAATCTGATGTTACTTTGTATTAAGTTCATGAACTCCTGATCTTTTTTACCTCTCTTAGCTCTCTTGGGAAGAACCTATCTAGAAAGGTTTCACTAATACTATCTTTTGTCATAAGAGTTGATTTGTACCCCTATTTTGTTTTCACTAAGTATACGAGATATTAGCCACATCTTTAAGTTTGTAAGATGCAACTCTTCCCGATCACCCCCAGTTACATGTATGACTTCAATCATCTTCTTGACCTCATCTATGAACTTTTGGGGATCCTCACCAGTTTGCGATCCCAAGAATTCAGGAAGCATAATCCTAACAATATCTCCAATCTAGATACAGATGCCCAACATTAGTATTTGCAAAAATTGGGACCCACTAATTGTTTTGGTTGGTCACACTCCGGGCCAACAACTAGATAGCGTTATAAAACTTAGCATTCAAAACTTCTTTATCTAGGAATGGAATAGCTCTGTTTGAATTCCGGGAATTTGCATTTTTTGCATAAGCTCTACTAGGAGGCATCATTTCAATTGTACAACAAAGAATTATCATGAGAAGTTGGATATTACCGCATGCACGATAAGAGTAGTAAGAAAATGAAGTTATCCTAAGACACTTTGTAGCCTCCCTCTCATTTGATGTAGTGCACTTCACACCCATGAAAAAAATCTACTTATTATTTTCCTTTCATACATCTTAAGACACATAAATCAAATTCTCTAATACCAAGTTTCTCAGGGCCCGTGTCTAACCTACGTCTAACCCCTAGATACGGACACGAGACGTAAGATAACTAATAACCCCAAAATAGCCTTGTGGTATATCATAACCATACTAAATTAAACTAAATCAATAAACACTGTGAGGAAGCTAAATTATATGGTAATTTGAAATGATGGGGAATACATATATATTAAATCTCAATATAAGAAAACTAAGAGTTTGAATACAAATGAAATGTTAAACTCTAACACTAAAATTGAAACTATGCCTTAAATATATCCTCTACATTCAAGAAATGCTAGACAATGCCCCGGCTACATTTATCAAAAACATATCAAAAGCTAAAATCAAGAAATATAATCATGTCACTCGACCTCGAAGAATGAGGACTCACCGGTGATGTTCAAGAACTAAAAATCAGGGACTGAACTATGTCTTATATTACTGCTGAGGACTTGAACCTATTTCACGAGAAGATGTAGTGCAACGTATGCATCAATCTCTGAAAGGTAATGATCATGCATGATAGACTAAAATTGAACAATAAAATAACTGAATAAAGTAATAAAGAAATAATATAATCTTAACATGATAAGGATACTAAAAATACTAAAATAAACTAACCGAATGCAATGATTAGGTTTTAACATGCTAAGACTAAATAACTTAACTATACTTATAACATGGTCAATGAAATAGAGTTCGAGTGAACCGCAGAAGCTACTAATAATAGACATAAAACTACATGACTTAAATGTGGAGTTCAACGTATATGTTCTATCGAGAGGACCCAATGCACATTTCCAAAATTATAAGGCATGACTGGAGTGATCGATCACTAAAATGATACCCACAGAGAAGACTTACAACCTATGGGGGCACATAGTTCTAGGACTATGAGGGTGATTGACCATTGTCTAACTCGCTATTAAGCTACTCCTAATTGATTATGTAATAAGCAATATTGTTACTTAAATGATGTAATAAGGGATATCTATAAATAGAGACATACAAACCAAAAATTGAACAATTATACTGATATTGGGATATTCGTAAAGTCAAGCATGTACGTATATATCTCAATTAACTGACCTAGAATGTACAATTCATGAACAAAAAGAACTACTTATCTAGGGTTTTGAATTTTCATGCAAGAAGCTGAGAAACAACATGATGATCTAATTTTAATCATACTAAAATCTAAAGCCCAGCAAGTTCTAACATTCAGAAACCTTGGGTCTACATAATATTAAGGGAATCAAGAAACTAATTGAATTTTAGGGATCTGATGGGTGAAAAGAACCCACTAGTGAAATCCCACATACATGGTGAAAAATTCCACAAAGAAATATTCTTATATTGGAGTTGGAACTGATGGAAACTCGTTTCATTCTTGAACTAGGGTTGCTTGATGTCTTTCTCCTTTTGGGTTCTAATTTTTTGAATTTTGGTGAATCATATGACTTGGGTAAGTTACACTTATTTTTCTACGCTAAAACATATTAAAACCACTTATTTTAGGGTTTATATGATGTATTTTAGTTGTCCAACGCATAGGGAAAAAGACAAAAATAACCTCACTTAAAAATTTGATTGGGTTGACAATGACCACTTTCACGGACAGTGAAAGGGACCACGGACAGTGGGAGCAATCATGGTTCTTGGTCAGTGGATACTTGCTTTGGGGGCCTTGTTTAGGAGATTTACAACAACCTGTGTGGTGGACATGAACTATGAAGGTCCTTGTGGTCCTCACTTTGGCCTAGGTTTGGTGGCTCAGGTGAAAGAACTGTTTAAGGACCACAGACCATAAATGTCCTCTTGGTCCTTACTTAAGCGTGGTGGTCTAAGGGTTAGGCTTGGTGGCCTACTAGTTAAGCTCCTACAAATGCCACCACGATCTATCATCAAGACCGCATCCCTTTGTCTAATGTCTGGGCCTCTTGGACTCTAACTTTCCACCACGGGCAATTCAACAAACCGTGGACCCTATAACCATCTGTGAACCACATCGTGGTTCACTTGTGCAAATAATCTTTTGTAATTTTTTAAGTTTTTGTTTTCAAGGTGTTATAGTGAAAAATCGGTCTCTCGTGATGTGCATTAGTTATAGATAGTTTAACAAATTCACAATCAAGAATAAGTACACTATTAAAGGAATTTATGACATGTTCAAAGAACTTCAAGGTGCTAGTCATTTCTCGAAGATAGTCCTCAGACCCCGTTGTCATTACCTTAGAGACAGAGATAAGGACATTCAAAAACTAATGTTCAAGACTCGGTATGATCATTATGAATTTGTAGTTATTTCTATTGGACTAACGAATACTCTTGTAGCTTTCATAGAATTGACGAATAGGGTGCATAAGCAGTACTTGGACATATTCGTTATCATCTTTATAAATGATATCCTCATTTACCCTAGGAATGAGGAAAAATATGCAACTCATTTGATGGTTGTCATGCAAACTCTCAAAGATTGGCAGTTGTTTTCTTAGTTTAACAAATGTGAGTTTTGGTTGTAATATGTTACTCTACTTGGGCAATGTCCCAAATATCACGACTGGAATCTAGACCCCAGACGAGACCGGCGTAGTTGACCTCTAAAATGTCGCAAACAAGCCAACTTAGGTCATACTTGCTTTTCATAGGTTAATTTTAGCGGAAAATTTGAAATTTTTTGTTCGTTAAACATGTTTGCTAAACATTCTTAATATTTTATAATCGTTCGTCATCAATTATCTAATATTAAAGAAATAAACAACTGAAAGAAATAGTTCATTGAGTCTTAATTATATAATTGCCAAAATGGCCCAATACAAAGTCTGTATCAAAACAACAAAGAAACGCTATTAGAACATGCTCCACAAACTCAACTCTAAAACTATTCTAGAATATAAAACAATAGCATCTTCAAAAGCATGCGGACCTACCAAACTCTGGATAAATGCTGACGTCCAGATAGATGCAACAATGCTCCTGCAACTCTATCGACCACCTGTGCCTACACCTAAAATAATATAGATGTATATGGTTAGTACACACTTGTACTAAGTATGGGTATATGCAATCACATACTAAGGACATGCATGAGAAAGAACAGTTCTTTCCTAACGACATGGTTTTTGGAAGTCAAGTCAGTAGACTTGCCAAATTGAGATTAGGAAAGTTAGTGAACTTTCCCAATTGGGTTAGGAAGGTCATGCCATGAGAGTAACATGCATCATTACAAATATCGCATTGCACAAAGCATATAACATCTTCATATAGCACAGATCATAGCACATAACCTATACCACCTTGCTTCTTTCATATCATTCATTCATATGCCATGAGACCTGGGAATCATGGACTTGACATTAAGACTTTCCAAAATGAGGGCCCAACATATGGGACCTCAACGATGGAGTCTTCATTAGCAAACACAGAGTCTGCTTCATTCATTCATACGTACTTCATTTGATTTCATTCATAGGCTAGTGTGAATATAGTTATACCTAGGATGTAGTTTAGGACTTTCATCGGGTTTGGTGGGCAATGATCAGGAATGACCTAATTTCATTACCCGAGTCTAGCTCACCTCTTGATTATCCTATTCTAACACCTTTGGTGTCATTTATTTCATTATGTGCTTCATTTGAGGCTGGTCTCAATCATTCATTAGGAACTTTAACTTTTATCGGCAAAGATCATGTGAGCATCGTGATATCCAGTGCCTTCCCCTAACCGAAAAGAGGTGGAATCACCGGCCAAAGTGACTCAATAACATGCTAGCGTATATGGGAATTTAACCCTGCCAGATCCCTATATTGGCAGTATATGATCAAAGACTAGGAGATGTATGGAGACCTATTCCCAGCAAGCCGGACAGTCTCATCTCATGAGAGTTACATGAACCTTTGCCCTTCCCAAAAGAAGGCATCACCGCTCATAGCTAGCCTATCGGTGCTTAGTATAAAGTTCCATTACGTTCAACTCATACGACTTGGAAGTGGACTTCTGAGATGAGGACAATACAGATCATTAGATGATATTTCATCTCATCATTAGTATCAAGTATGTTAAGCTCGATACCTTCATTAGGGGTTCATAGAGACCGGTCTCTTCATTATCTTACACTCTCCTTGGTTAGTACGTATTGGTAACATTTATTTAGGCTTACTTGAGATTTCTTTCACATATTCATTAGCCTCATGTCATGTTGTCACCAGATTCTTCATTATTAGCACCTTTGCTTTTCATAGTTACTCACCTCTTATTACGTGAATAATTATTTCATCATTTCATTATTTATCTTATCATATGCCAATGCACTTGGACACTAAGTATATCTTACACTCATATTTAACCCTCTTAGGGTTCATCGTTTCGTTACATTAATCTTAGGTTCTCTTATTTTTGAAAGTATGTTTGACTTATGTGTCTATACATACAAGCGATGGGGCTTCATTCGTAGTTTGCTAAGTGATTACTTTCCTAAGATTATGTAGTACAAGACTTATGTATCTTGTATGCATGCCAGGTTCTTAATTTTTTTTTATCTAAGTAGATGTCATTATTCTTTTATATTTTACTCACGTATGACTTATGCATCAATACAGAAATTCTTGTAAGGGAACCCAATTCTTGGATCACTTGGATATATTTTATATTTTTCATTAATTTTATTTCTAATATTCATAACTTTAGACTCTAAATATAATTTCAACATTTAAATTGAAGGATTAATTTTCTATTTTAATTTGCCTCTTAGATAACCAAATTGTTCGGGATTTGAGACCCCACAACCCCTTTGATTTTTAGAGTTAAATTCTATATAATAGGGAGGTTGTGTGTTCGAACCCCCAACCCCCCCCCCCCTTTATTTTTAAAATTTGCTGATGAGGCTGTGAGGTGGTGGGTTCGAACCCCCACAACCCCTCTATCTGTATTTTATTTAAATGGGTGAGTGGCAGTGAGGTTGTAGGATTGAATCCCCACAGCCTCATTTTATTTCCTTGTTATTTCGCCTTTCCCTTCAGCGCCGAGGTTGTGGATTCGATCCCCACGCCTCACATTTTTTTCATTATTTCCTCTCCTGTTGCGCGTACTAGAAGGTCGTGGGATGGAATTGAATTCCACGCCTCCCATTTACTTGTTTATTTAATTTTTCTCCTTTTCCTCCCCATATGTCACGAGTTCGATTCCCCCAGCCCTATTTCCTTTTTTTTTGTTTTGCGAAAACAGGAGCTAGGATCGAATCCCCCCAGCCCCCATTTTACATTTTCTTTTCCTCACGAAACCAATAGCTAAGGGGTTCGATTCCCCTTAGCTCCTTCACGTATTTTATTTTATTTTTCAGCCTTCTCAACATGTCTTGCGTTCAATTCCCATTGACATCACTTGTTTATTTCCCTTTTAAGAAACCCATAATTTAATCTTATGGGAGAGTATGCAAATCTGGAAATTTTTTTCTTATCATTATTCTTTCATTTTTAGTCATTTCTTTCATGAGTTTACTTAGCTAAAAAGTGTTATTCAACCCAAAATTTTTTATTATAATGAACACCACATTGCACACACATAAAATACACCAAAAACACATGAATATTCGACCCCCAAACACTGGCTAAAGAAATTGCCCACGATGCATACACAACACAAATTTTTGGTTACACTTCGAATATCATTTTCGTAATTTACCTCACGTAAAACATGTTCAAACTTAATATAAATACGTAAATCATGCCTAAGTCTAGAAGAATAACATATCCATCCTACGAATTCGTTTGGGAGCTAAGGACAAGGACATACAAAGGGTAACAACCTTAGTTTTCAGGAGCTTTAGAAACATTCGAAGGAAAGTACTCTTTGAGAAAGAATTCCAGGAGAGAGAAACCCATACCTTTTAATGTTGTTCAAGTGTGAAGCTGCTTCCAGGAAACTCCTCCAAACCACGCCCAACTCACTTCAACGTACACCCCACTCGACGAACCTCCAAACCTATAGCCTTGACGTTTTGATTATTTTGTATTTTCCTTAAAAATTCTTGTGAGTTCTTCAATTGTGAAGAACTCTTGATGTATTTTCTGGATTTTGTTGTGTTTTGCAGAATAACATGAGAGAGAGAGATTGAGAATGTCAGAGAGAGTTGAGAAACGTGAGGGAGAGAATTATTAAGATTAGGAGACTAAATTCAAGACTTAGTCAAAATAAGATTTAATTAACTTAATAAAAATCTGACTTATTTTAATTAATATGTGAAAGGACCATTTTACCCTTAATGAATAGATTTTAATTGATGATTAATCATCGATTCCTTGCTCCTAGTGGGGCTCGAACCCGAGTGGCAACCCATTTGCGAAATAGGTCACTCTGAGTTGCCCTAAATTTGAAAAGCTCTTTTAATTAAATTATTTAATTAAGTTATTAATTCTTCAAGTTAAATACAATATTACCCTTGGCCTGGAAATGACCATTTTATCCTTGGACCCTTAAAACATAAATTTTTTTCTTTTAAGTCTGGTATAGACTCCTTCGATTAAATCTTCGTTTTCGCGAGCCTTACTTGGTTGATTCCAACCTTTCCAAGCCCAACTAACTCCCCAAGTTAGTTGACTTGATCGTAGTAAGGGTTTCAAGGTCTGGTTCTACGCGTATCAAGTGGTGTGAACCTTGGTTTAATGGAAATCATTCTTGACACCCTAAGTCTTGACCCTATTCATTTTTAGTGTTGTTACATTATCCCCCCCTTAGGAACATTCGTCCCCAAATAACACTACCACCTCACATCGTTATGCTAGTCGGGTTATAATAAAATCAGCATACACAGTCAATCAATAGCAACAAAATATGGATTGATAAGGAAACAGAAGCTTAAGAGGAGGAAGTGTAACCTCAAGAGCTAAAAAGATAAGGGTAGCGGGATGTCATGTCGGCCTCAGCCTCCCACGTAGCCCCCTCAACAAGATGATTTCTCTCCTAAGCCTCTTCACCTGTCTGTCTAAGATCTTAACAGGTACCTCCTCATAAGACAAGTCTTCACCAAACCCAAAACTTTAACAGGTAAGATTGATGCTGGATCACCTAGGAACTTTTTTAACATAGACATGAAAGAATGGATGAAAAGAAGCTAGCTCCCCAGGCAATGCAAACTCATAGGCTACCTCACCCACACGCTGTATAATCTCATATGGCCCAACATATCTCGGACTTAACTTCCCTTTTCTAAAAAATCGCATCACCCCTTTCATATGCGATATTTTCAAGTAAATCTGGTCACCGACATCACACTCTAAGGGTCATTTTTTGTTATCAGCATATGACTTCAGCTGACTGTAAGTAGTAGTAAATCTTCCCCTAATCACTCTGACCATCTCTAAGGCCTAATTGATTGATCTCTTGACCCAAAATGGATAAATGTCCAACCTCGAACCACCCAACTGGAGATCTGCACCTCCTACCATACAGTGCCTCAAATGGTTCCATCCCTATGCTAGGGTGGTAGCTATTATTATACGAAAACTCTATCAAAGGCATATGTTCATCCCAGTTACCTCTGAAGTCGATCACACACACTCTCAACATGTCCTCTAATGTCTCAATGGTGCGCTCTGCCTGCCAATCTGTCTGAGGATGAAATGCAGTACTATGCATTACCTGCGTGCCCAAGCTCTTCTGGAAAGATTTCCATAAATGAGAAGTAAACTAAGATCCTCTATCTAAAATAATAGACAAGGGAATCACATGCCATCTCACAATCTCATTGATATAAAGTATTGCATAATCCTCGGCTCTGTAGGTAGACTTCACAAAGATAAAGTGAGCAGACTTAGTCAATCTGTCCACAGTAACCCATATGGAGTCATGTTGTCTCCTAGTTCTCGGAAGAGCAACCACGAAGTCCATATTAATCGCCTCCCATTTCCACGTTGGAATCTCAATAATCTGAATCATACCACCAGCCTTAAGATGCTCTGCCTTGACTTGCTGACAAATAGGACACTTAGCCACATATCCTGCAATGTCCTTTTTCATGCCATCCCACCAATACATTTTCTTAAGATCATGATACATCTTGATGGAACCTGAATGTATGGAATATCTGGAACCATAGGCCTCTGCCACGATCCTGGTCCGTAAATCATCCATATCCGGTGCACACAGCCTGTCCTGGTATCTAATTATTCCATCACCTCCCAAAGCGAAAGACTATTTCATTTTTAACAACACTGAGTCTTTCAGCTCCATCCACACAGGATCAAGATGTTGACCGTTCTTGACTTCATCTACCAAGGATGATTTAGAACTAGGATGAATTGAAACACCCCCACTAGTATAGTCAACCAATCGCACACCCAGTGTGGCCAGTCTGTATACCTCTTTTGCCAACTCCTTCTTCTCGTCCTCAATGTGGGATGTACTCCCCATGCTCATCCTTCTCAAAGCATCAGCCACAACATTAGACTTACCTGGATGGTAGTGCACATTCATGTCATAATCCTTTAACATCTCCAACCACCTGCGCTGACGTAGATTCAACTCCTTTTGTATGAACACGTGCTGGAGACTTTTATGATCCGTGAAGACATCAACATGCACTCCATACAGATAATGCCTCCACAACTTCAATGCAAACACCACATCTACCAACTCTAAGTCATGAATGGGATAATTCTTTTCATGAACCTTGAGTTGTCTTGAAGAATAGTCTATCACCTTACAATCATGCATAAGAATTCAACCAAAACCAACCCTAGATACATCAAAATAAATCATGTAATTCTCACCACACTTAGGTAAAGTAAGCACCGGGGCTGAAGTGGTTTCGTCCTTGAGCTCCTGGAAACTCTTCTCACAAGTCTCAAGTCGATTCAAACTTGGATTTCTTCATTGTCTAAGCTATAAGTGGGGCAGCGATGGAAGAAAAGCCCTCCACAAACCTGCGGTAGCAACCATCCAATCCCAGAAAGTTACGGATATCGGTGGGAGTAAAAGACTTTCGCCAATTCTTAATAGCTTCAGTCTTGTTGGGCTCAACCTCTAAACCTTGATCGGACACAACATGACCCAGGAAGGTCACTGATCTCTGCCACAATTAACACTTGCTGAATTTGGCATGCAACTGATGCTATCTAAGTACCTGCAAGGTTAGTATTAAATATTGATCATGTTCTTCCTTGGTCTTAGAGTAGATGAGAAAGTAATCAATGAATATTATGATGAAAGAGTTAATGTATTCACGGAAGACTCTGTTCAGGAGATCCATAAATGCAGTAGGTGAATTCGTGAGACCAAATGAAATAACCAAGAACTCATCATGACCATAACGGGTATGATAAGCTGTCTTTGGGACATCTCCCTTCCTAACTCTAAGTTAATGATACCCTGAAGGAAGATCAATCTTAGAGATGAAACTAGACCCTTGGAGATGATCGAACATATCATCTATTCTGGGAAGTGGATACTTACTCCTTATAGTGACTTTGTTGAGGTTCCGATAATCGATACACATTCTAAGAGTCCCATCTTCCTTCTTTACAAGCAACACTGGAGCGTCCCACGAGGATATGCTCGGCCGAATGAAACCCTTATCAGTGGGATCTTTTACCAGCAACTTCAACTCTTTGAATTCTGCTGGAGTCATTCTATAAGGAGGAATCGAGATTGGTTTACTATCGGGTTCTAAGTCAATACCAAAGTCAATCTCTCAAATGGGAGGGACTCCAGGAAAATATTCAAGAAACACATCTAGAAAATCATTCACTACAGGCACTAAGTCTGTGGAAGGAATGTCATGATCTAATCATTAACACTCACAAGATGACATAGTAACCCCGTGGACATCATTTTGTTGGCCTTAAAATTTGAAATGAAGGGATTGGGACGACTCGAATTGTAACCTACCCAGACTAACTCTTCTTCAATATGGAAGTGAAATTTTACCACTCTACTACGACAGTCCAAGCAAGCATAACAACTGTGAGGCCAATCCATGCCAAGAATAATATAAAATCATGCATGGGTAACTTAATCAAGTTTGCACACATGGTCTTAAAAATTACAACTATTGGACAATCCTTGTATACCTTATTTGTCCTTACATTTTCTCCTAATGGCGAATTAACTACTATAGGATCATGCAGAACTTCAGGTAGTACTTCAAAAGTAAGGGCAAGCAGAGGAGTTACAAAGGAAAGCGTAGACCCTGGATTAAGTAAAGCATAACAAAAGTTGAGAATACTTGCAGCATACCTGTAACAATATCAGCAGACTTCTCCTGATCCTCCCTTCCCTTCAAGGCATAAAATCTGTTCCTCTTGGGAGGCTCGGCTGTTGCTGCACCTTGTGGGTTAGGCCTAGGCTGAGCATTACTTCTTACCTAACCTCTGTTCTGTGGATAGTCTCTGACCATGTGTCCACTCTTACCACAACCAAAGCGGGAATTTGTGCCTTGTCTGCATTCTCCACTATGAGCTCGACCACACTTAGCACAATTCTTCTTAGGACGCTTAAACTCACCTCCATTGCCCTTCTTGGGCTCAGGTCTGCCTCCTTTTTGTGTAGCACCCCTCTGAGGATTTGAATTTCCAGAACTCTGTTGCCCCTTTTTGAACCGTTGCTGCTCACGGACGCCAAAATTATTTTTGTGGCTTCCATGACTGGGACCTACCTAATCTTGAGGCTTAGGCCTCCTAACATCACGAATACCTCACTTTTTGCGGTTGTCCTCTACCTACTGGACATGCACCATAAACCTTGAAAGGTGCATATTATCATGAAGCATCACAGATCGACACTCCTCCTCCAAATCTCCATTGATTTCTGTGAGGAACCTGCTCATCTTATTCTTGTAGTTAGAAACCAGGGAAGTAGCATACATGGATGATTTCAACAAAGTTTAGTATTCTCCTCATTCTTGCTATTAAATACGAGAGGAAAGTAACATACCTTGATAGCTTAACAAATTTCATGGAATACTCCCTGACTGCCATAGAGCCTTGCTTAATGTTGATGAACTCCTCAACCTCGGCCTCTCTAATCTCTCTGGGGAAGAGTCTCTCAAGAAATGTTGTCGTGAAAAACTCCTATGTGACTGGCACTCCACCAAAGATACGGTTATCTTGCCACATATTTCTCCAAGTCTGTGAAACATCCTTAAGCTGATAGGAAGTCAACTCAGCCTTCTTAATATCAGTGGCCCCAGAGCCACCAGGACCTTATGCACCTCATCTACAAACTCTTGACGGTCCTTTGATGTCTTAGCCCCTGTTAATATGGGAGGGTTCATCCTCGTGAAATCTTATAGTTTGTCAACCATACTCCAAACCGGGGGGTTCTCCCTCTGAACATCCTGCCGGTTGACTTGGGCAGCCTAGCCTGAGCCTGCATCGCGATGGACTATTCCATATCCTCCAAAGATGCCCTTACCTTAGCATTGTTCTACCCAGCTGGGTTAATCGGCATGGCCACTCCTTCAGTTGGGGCCTGGGTAGAACTCGATTGCCCCTAGCAGCTGCCCCCCTCCTCCTCTAACCAATAACCCTCCTAGGGTTCATTCTCTGAAAAAACAACAAGGTTTGATGTTAGAAACACTTATAACATCAAGAACTCATTCATTATGAAAAGCACAATAAGATTAGAAGAAGGGAAATTTTCCTACGCATCATGCAGTCTCTAAGATTAGAAACTACTCAATCTTTTTTATATGAACTCATTATTCTTAGAATTTAACCTAGTGCTCTAATACCAACTTTGTCACGACTGGAATCTAGACCCCAGACGAGACCGGCATCGTTGACCTCTAAGAGGTCGCAAACGAGCCTACTTATGTCATAATTGCTTTATATAGGTTAATTTTAGCGAAAAATTGAACTTTCTGTTCTTTAAACATGCTTGCTAAACATTCTTAACATTTTATAATAGTTCGTCATCAACCATCTAATATTAAAGAAATAAACAACTGAAAGAAATAGTTCATTAAGCCATAATTATATAATTGCCAAAATGGCCCAATACAAAGTCTGAATCAAAAAACAGGAAAGAAACGCTATTAAAATATGCTTCACTAGTTCAACTCTAAAAATACGCTAGAATATAAAACAGTAGCATCCTCGAAAGCATGAGGACCTACAAAACTCCAGATGAATGCTGACGTCCGGATAGCTGCAACAAAGATCATGCAACTCTATCGACCACCTGTGCTTGCACCTAAAAGTATAGATGTATAGGGTTAGTACATACTTGTACTAAGTATGGGTATATTCAAGCAAACACCAAGGACATGCATGAGAAAGAACAACTCTTTCCTAACAACATGATTTTTGGAAGTCAAGTCAGTAGACTTGCAAAATTGAGATTAGGAAAGTTAATGAACTTTCCAAATTGGGTTAGGAAGGTCATGCCATGAGATTAACATGCATAATTATAAATATTGTATTGCACATAGCACATAACATCTTCATATAGCACATAAACTATAGCACCTTACTTCTTTCATATCATTCGTTCATATGCCATGAGACTTGTGAATCATGGACTTGACATTAAGACTTCCCAAAATGAGGGCCCAACATATGGGACCTCAACTAGATAGTCCTCATTAGCAAACACAGAGTCTGCTTCATTCATTTATACTTACTATATTTCATAGGCTAGTGTGAACACAGGCTATATCTAGGATGTAGTTTAAGACTTTCATCGGGTTTTGTGTGCAATGATCAGGAATGACCTAATGTCATTACCCGAGTCTATCTCACCTCTTGATTATCCTAATCTAACACCTTTTGTATCATCCATTTCGTTATGTGTTTCATTTGAGGCTGGCCTCAATCATTCATTAGGAACTTTAACTTGAATCGACATAGATCATGTGAGCATCATGAAATCCAGTGTCTCCCCCACCGAAAAGAGGTGGAATCACCTGCCAAAGTGACTCAGTAACATGCTAGTGTCTGTGGGAATTTAATAATGCCAGATCCCTAGATTGGCAGTATATGTTCAAAGGCTAGGAGATGTATGGAGACCCATACCCGGCGATGGAAAGTCTTGTCTCATGAAAGTTACGTGAACCTTCGCCTTCTCAAAAGAAGGCATCACCACTCATAGATATCCTATCGGTGCTCAGTATAAAGTTCCAGTACGTTCAACTCATACGTCTTAGAAGTTGACTTCTGACAGTATAGATCATTAGATGATATCTCATCTCATCATTAGTATCAAGTGTATTAAGCTCAATAACTTCATTAGAGAGGTCATAGAGACTAATCTCTTCATTATCTTACACTCTCCTTGGTTTGTACGTATTGGTAACATTTATGTAGGCTCACTTGAGATTAATCTCATCATATTCATTAGCCTCATGTCATGTTGTCGCCACATTCTTCATTATTCACACCTTTACTTTTCATAGTTACTCACCTCTTATTACGTGAATGATTATTTTATCATTTCATAGTTTATCTCATCATATGCCAATGCACTTTGCCACTTAGTGTATCATATACTCATACTTAACCCTCCTAGGGTTCATCGTTTCATTACATACATCTTAGGTTCACTTATTTTTGAACGTATGTTAGACTAATGTGTTTATACATACAAGCCATGAGGTTTCATTCGTAGTTCGCTAAGTGATTATTACTTTCCGAAGATTATGTAGTACAAGACTTATGTATCTTGTATATATGCCAAGATCGTAATTTTATGATCTAAGTAGATGGCATTATTCTTGGATATTTTACTCACGTATGACTTATGCACATAAATTTGGGAAAGGGAACCCAAATCTTTGATCACTTGAATATCATTTTTTTCCATCAATTTTATTTCCAATATTCATAACATTATACTCTAAATTAAATCTTAACATTTACACTGAAGGATTAATTTTCTATATTAATTTCACTCTTAGATAATTAAATGGTTTGGGGTTCGAGCCCCCACAAACCCATTGATTTTTAGAGTTAAATTCGCTACGATAGGGTGGTTGTGTGTTCGAACCCCACACCATCCCCCCGTTATTTTTTTTAAATTTCGATGAGGAGTCTCTGAGGTGGTGTATTAGTGAGGTTGTGGGATCGAATCCCCACTGCCTCAATTCGTTTCCTTGTTATTTTGCCTCTCCCCTCAGCGCTGAGGTCATGGGTTCGATCCCCAAGCCTCGCATTTTATTTTTTTCATTATTTCCTCTCCCTTCTCACATACTAGGAGGTCGTGGGTTCGAATCCCACGTCTCCCATTTACATGTTTACTTAATTTTTATCCTTCTCCTCCTCATAGGTCGCGAGTTCGATTCCCCCCAGCCCCATTTCCCTTACTTTTTTCGCGAAAACAGGAGCTGGGATTGAATCCCCTAGCCCCTATCTTCTTTTTTCTTTGCTTCACAAAACCAATAGCTAAGGGGTTCGATTCCCCTTAGCTTATTCACGTTTTTTCTCTTATTTTTCATCCTTCTCAACATGTGTGGTCTTGGTTTTAATTACCATTGACCTCACTTATTTATTTTCCTTTTTCAAAAACCATAATTTAACCTTATGGAAGAGTATGCAAATCTGGAAATTTTTTTCTTATCATTATTCACTCATTTTTCGTTACGTCTTTCATGAGTTTACTTAGTTAAAAGAGTGTTACTCAACAAAACATTTTTCATTATAATGAAAACGACATTGCACACACATTGCACACATAAAATACACCAAAAACATATGAATATTCGACCCCAAAACAGTGGCAAAAGCCACTGCCCACGATGGATACACAACACCAATTTTTGGTTACACTTCGAATATCATTTTTTTAATTTCCCTCACATAAAACATGTTCACACTTAATATAAATACGTCAATCATGCCTAAGTCTAGCAGAACAACACACCCATCCTACGAATTCAATTGGGAGCTAAGGATAAGGACATAGAAAGGGGAACAATCTTAGTTTTCAAGAGCTTGAGAAACGTTTGAAGGAAAGCACTCTTGGAGAAATAATTCCAGGAGAGAAATCCATACCTTTTGATGTTGGTCAAGTGTGAAGTTGCTTCTAGGAAACTCCTCAAAACCACACATAATACACTTCAACGTACACCCCACTCGACGAACCTTTATTACCCTTGACATTTTGACTACTTTGTCTTTTACTTAAAAATTCTTGTGAGTTCTTCAAGTATGGACAACAATTGATGTATTTTCTGGTTTTTGTTGTGTTTGGCAGAATAACGTGAGAGAGAGTTGAGAAACGTGAGGGTCAGAGAGTTAATAGAATTAGGAGACTAAATTCAAGACTTAGTCAAAATATGATTTAATTAACTTAATAAAAATCTGATTTATTTTAATTAATACCGGAAAGGACTATTTTACCCTTAATGAATAGATTTTAATTGATGATTAAATCATCAATTCCTCGCTCCTAGTGGGGCTCGAACCCGAGTGGCAACCCATTTGCGAAATGGGTCACTCTGATTCGCCCTAAATTCGAAAATCTCTTTTAATTAAATTAATTTATTTATTTATTACTTCCTCAGGGTAATTACAATATTACCCTTGGCCTGGAAATAACCATTTTACCCCTGGACCCTCAAAACATAAAATTTCTTCTTTTAAGTCTGGTAAAGACTCCTTTTGATTAAATCTTCATTTTCGCGAGTCTTACTTTGTTGGTTTCAACCTTTCCAAGCCCAACTAACTCCCCAAGTTAGTTGAATTGATCATAGTAAGGGTTCTAAGGTCTGGTTCTACGCGTATCTATTCGTGTGAACCTTGGTTTAATCGCAAGCATTCTTGACACTGTAACTCTTGATCCTATTCATTCTTAGCGTTGTTACACCAAACCAACCTCTCCTTTAGAATTAGATGTTTCATGGGTATGGCTAGTTATTTGGGAAGGTTCACAGAAGTATTTTCATCCATAGCTCCCCCATTGACTAAGTTATTTTATAAAAGGTTAAGTTTTAGGGGTTAGACAAATGTAAAAGAGCTTCTAAGAACTGAAAATGATGTTAGCTATACCCTCGGTTTTGACTCTATTAGAGGGTTTAGACAATTATGTTGTTTATTGTGATTCATCTGAGTCATTCGAGGTTGTGTGTTGATACAACGAGGAAAGGTTGTAACATATGCTTCTAGACAGATCAAGATATCTGAGAAAAACTATCTGACTCATGACCTTAATTTTCCAACCATATTATTTTGCCTTAGGATTCAAAGACATTACTTGTATAGTGGTCATGTAGATGTGTTCACGAACATTAAAATCCTTCTGTATATGTTCACCCAGAAAGAGTTGAATCTTCGCTAGAGGGGATTGTTTGTGTTCCTTAAAGACTATATATGAATATGCTTTACCATCTTGGTAAGGACAATGTAGTAGAAGATGCTTGTAGCATACTATATATGGGTAGTATAGAACATATTAAGGAAGAAAGGAGAGAACTAGGAAAGATGTTCACTAGCTTGCTCGCTTAGGAGTTATATTTACGAGCATATCAGATTATAGGGTGAGGGTCAAAATGGGTCAAAATCATCATTAGTAGTAGAATTTATGGAAAAGAAAAACAATGACCCAATATTCCAGTAACTGAAGGATGTAGTTCCACAACACAAAGTTGAGGTTTTCTCAAAAGTGGGAGATGGTGTGCTTCACTATGAGGGTCGTTTGTGTGTTCCTAAGGTGGGTGAGTTAAGACAACATAATCTTGTAGAAGACCATAACTCTTGGTATTCTATTCATCCAAGTGCCACTAATATGTACCGTCATGAAAAGGGACATAAATCCATTTGGGATTAATATTCCTACATGGATGTGGGAAGTGGATAACATGGACTTCATTATAGGTTTACCTCATACTAGTAGACAACATGAATCCATTTGGATGATAGTTTACAAAGTTATTAAGTCTGCACAATTTTGGGTCGTTAAACCTACAAATTCGGAAAAGTACTACGCCAAGATATACATTAATGAGATAGTTACGTTTTATGAGTTCCTTTTTCTATCATTTTTGATAGAGCTCCTTAATTTACCCTCATTTTTTAAAATCATTTAGTAAAGGTCTAGGTACTCAGGTTAATTTCAACACAATATTTCATCCACATATAGATGGTCAGGGAGAGCGTACAATTAAGACCATAGAGGACATATTGAGAGATTGCATGATCGACTTCAAACGTAGTTAGTATGATCATCTTTCTCCTATAGAGTTCACCTACAATAATTGT